GGGGGGGGCTGCTTCTGGGGTTTCCATGGAAACTTGCCCCAGCCACATGGGCAAGGGCTGCTGGGAAATGGAGTCCACTGCTGGCCAGATTCAGCCCCGCAGGCTGGATTTTGCCCACCCTGAGTCTAAAGGAACCTTAATGAAGTATAATACAGCCATTACCCATGTTGAAGTCCCCTAACATTGCTGGCATGGTGACAAGTGGCTGTGGAGTAAACCAAAATCAGAACACTTATCTTTTGGACTCACTTCTTGAGCCCCACTGGTTTTTTTCTCTCCAGCAAGCAGCTTTTTTACTGGCCTTTTAAGATTATCTATTGGATGGCTGAAATATTCATCTGCCATAATTGGAACTTGGCCCAGAGTTCCTGTTTTATGACCGAAGTGTTGACTTCTGTTCAAATTTAACCTCCACTTTTCAAAAAAAAAAGAAAACAAACGAGGATTTGGAGCAGGCAGTACAGAAAGGTGTGTGAACTCTGATATATTAGTTCCAGTTTACAGTAGCTTGACAATACATTTAGTCTGAACAAACACAAATATATTTACAGTGATGTCATTGTTATCTTTTTCCACTTGCTGGGTACTAAAATCAAGAATGAATGTTTACATATGAGGCTACATTAATAGTGCATAACTGCAAACCACATCTAGTATATAAATTCCTTGAGACACAACCTTAAGGACTCAACAGCTTTGCCTAATTACTTTGTGTAAACATTTGTATCTGTACATTGTATCTTGTCTCTACACTGTTATTAACTACATCTTCAACAGCAAAGTCTACAAAAATTGCAAAATTTGTAACAAAAGTGCCCATGTACCAAGAATAAATTAGAACTAGTAATGGAACACATGCTCCTCTATTTACATAAATGACATATTGAGTCAGACCAATGGTCCCATGGAGTCCAGCATCTGTCTCCAACAATGGCAAAAGTAGATGCTATACAGGGAGAACACTGAACCAGGTATCTCTTGAGTCAGGGTGCTCCTCTTTTTACTCCACAGGTCAGATGACTGCAGGGCTGGTACACAGGCTGGATCAAGATCTGTGTGCCAAAACTGGGCCCTGGGGGCCCAGCACCACCCCTTCCATTCCCATGTGCCAGGATTGGGTCCCAGAAGCCCAGTGCTGTCTTCTCCCTGTTCCACGTGCTGAGATTAGGCACTATGGGCCTGGCACTGCCCCCCCCTCCCTTGCCCTAAGCACCAGGAATGGGCCCCAGGAAATTGGGGCCCAAGGACCCAGTGCCACCCCCTCCTGCCCCCAGACTAGATCCCAAATGCTCAGCATCATTCCCTCCCACCCATATGCCAAGATTAGCCCCAGGGGCCTAGCATCCCCCCCCTCAGCCCTCCACTCCAGGATTGGGCTCTGGTGCTGCCCTTGTGCACTTAAATTGGGCCCTAGGGTCTAGCACCACCTCCACACAGCCCTGTGTGCTGGGACTGGGTGCCTGATCCAGTGTGCAGGGCACAGGGCTCCCCATGGGTCTGGAAATTTGGCAGCAGGAGAGTGGTGCTATCACATCCCCGCTGCCACATTTCCAGACCCATGGGAAGCCCTGCACTCTAGGTAGCATGGTGCTGCAGGCTGGATTTGGCCTTCACGCCATAGGTTGAGCACCTCTGAACTAGAGTGATCTCTGTCACCTATTCAATGCCCTCCCTCACACCCACTATTATAGGCTTAGAGATGCCAGAGGAAACATCTCCAACAGTTCTGTTCAACAGCAATTAATCAATCTACTATCAATGGATCTGTCTAGTCCCTTTCTGAACCTGGCTATAGTATCAGTCTCTACCACCTCCTGTGCCAATGAATTCCACAAGTTAACTACGCACTGCATAAAAAAGTACTTTCTCTTGTTAGTTTTAAACCTGTCACCTACTAATTTCAGTGGGTGGCCCCTAGTCCTAATATTCTGAAACCAGGGTGAACAATAGTTCCCTGTTCACATCAGGGATATAACTTGTATTGAGATGATTTATTTTCAAGACTATAGCCAGATAACACAGCTCTTGGATTACTGGATTGTTTATCATTTCTCTTTACACCCTGAAAAACACATACAGAGAGTTAATGTGCTCACAAACATAACTGTAAGGAAAATGTCAGCAGCTCTGTAACTTAATAGCTGACCTCCGGTTCAATCTGGAGTAGAGTGTTTTGCAAAGCTTAAAATATACATGGTTGAAATTCTACTTTCCCCTCAACCCCCTGTCTCAAGCTGTGCATGGCAAAATTCTCACTGATTTTTTTTGGAGTACAGGTTTCACCCAGATAGTTTGGGATTTTTTAATCACCCAAAAGGCATCACTTCAGGCTCCCATATACTACTGAGCTTCAGTGGGACTTGGAGCACTTTCAGAAACCCTAACCACGATTTTTAAATTAACTTCTTTTCTGTCAAGAAACTCTCCTGGGTTTTCTAAGAGATACCACACACTCCCTCTGCTGCTCTTTCAGAGTCACTGATGGCAGCTTCCCCCAGTCCTATGCATAGTCACACTTGCATCCCAGGAAATACTGAGAGAGAGTGTGAAAAGAATGGGAAAGGGAACTGAGTTGGCTTCCACTGCTTGAGAAACAACAAAGTAGTTCTTGCAAACAATGAAAGGTAAGCTATATCTGGTAAAACCCCTATAGAAGAGTGCAGGTGAGGGTATCTACAAGTACAATGAAGGAGTATTTGGAGGTAGTGATTGCTAAATGACTAGGTGTAACATCCTCTTGCCATTCTTCATTGTGGCTTGTCTGTCATTTTCTGAAGGTAGAGCAAGACAGAAGGCAGGGCTGTAAATGTAAACTGGTGGATAGGTGCAGGGACTAGGCAGCTTTGCGTCTGCCCTCATAATTCCTAAATGTCCTTGGGGAGGAAGATATCACACTGCAACTGGACCTAGACTGGGGATTCAAACTCAAGTCTCCTCAAAACAAAACAGAATATAAAGGCCTGTCAGGGAAGATTAAAATCCACTCTGTAGAAATGGAATCATTAGCAAAATGTAAGAGGTGACAAGAAGAGATAGAGCCTTTCTTATGGCCAGCTGCTGAGTTAATTTAGAAGCAAGGTTTTATTGGTGATACCTTTTATTGGATCAACTGTATAGTTGGGAGAGATGTTAGACAAGCTTCTGGGCACACTTGCTTCTTTCCCACTCTGGGAAAAAAGCAAGTACAGTGTAAGCTAAATACCAGATAAAACACTGGTTTGTATGTATATGCAACAGAAGCAAGTTTACCCACATCAAAAGGAGGGCAAATCTGTGCCTGAAAGCTTGCCTTATCTCTCACAGTTATCCAGTTGATCCAATAAAAGATATCACCAAAAAAAAATTTGCTTCTCACGTATTTCCTGGACCATCAATACTCCAACAAGAACACCATAACAACAATACTCTAACCCTAAGAAAGCAGGCACTTGGTATCATAGAGAAGCAGGACTGGAAGGGACCTCAAGAGGTCTAATCCAACCCCCTGCCTGAGTCAGGGCGCATCCTAAGAGCGCGCACATGCAGTTTGTGGCACTGCAGACCCATCTGTGATGCCACAAACGGTGGACACCACACATGTAGGCATTCACTGTGCTGCTAATTTGCAGCACAGCAGGTTTCTTTGACACTGGGAGATCCTAGTGTCAAAAAAACCTGCTCCAGAAAAAAATAGGGTAGAGCACGTAGTGGCAGTGTGTGCTGCCCAGAACCAGAGCCTAGCTGGCCACAGACACACTCTGGCTGCCAGCCAGGCTCTGTGCACCTGAATTGCCACTGCTGGGACCCCAGGAGGCCCCAGGACCCAAGGTAAGGTTGCGGGAGCCAGCCCAGCTGCTGGTCCCAGCTTCCCTATCCCCACCTGAGGCAGTTTGCCACATGCCAGTACACATGTGCGGGGGCATTCCCCAGGGACAACCAGCTGTGGCACAAATATGTGCCATAGCTAGTTGTCCCCAAAGAACACACGTTCCTGGTCCTGGGGATGCACCCCTTGGGTCCAATCTTGTGTCCTATATAGGGAACAAACCTGCAACCTTGGCATTATAAGCATCACATTCTAACCAATCAGCCACTAACTGAGCTAATTGGAGTGGAGGAGAGGTGTAAACTAGGAGCAAAAAGAACTCAGCAGTAGTTTCAAAGCAATAGACAAGGGTTATTATTACTTGTGGAGTATTGAGAAGTTGGAAGAGACACAAATTAGATTATAAAAAGTCATGAAACCATCA